CAGTCTGGGCGACGGAGTGAGACTCCAACTCAAAAAACAACAACAACAACAACAACAAAAGAGAAATCCCACCCCCCAAAGTGACAGTGTCAAGAGGCTAGGCCTTTGGGAGGGATCAGGCCATGAGGCTGGAGCCTCATGAATGGGATCTGCACCTTTGCAAAGGGACCCCAGGGAGCTCTGTCTCTCGGCCAGTGAGGGTATAGGGGTGAGTCAGCGGCAGACAGCACGGAGGGGGCTGCACCCTCTTCTAAGACGTCCAGTCTCCCGAACTGTGAGGAGTGCATTTCCATTGTATATAAGCCACCTGGTATACGGTATTTTGTTATAGTAGCCCAAACTGACTAAGACACGGGGCTCTAAGGACGGCACCTAGTTACGGCATTAAAAAAGTAGGGCCAGCTTGGCTCACCCTCTCAAAAATATTTAAAGAAACAGAAAACAACACAAAAATTAAATAACCTTTTTTCTCTTGCAAAATCCTGTCAGCAATACTGCCGGCGAACTTACCACAAAATTTGGTTTTGGTACTCAAATGGACGATGGTACTTATGTTTCCGTGGACTTTCAAAGTGTTGCTTAATTTAATATTTATGGCCCTAGCAGTGCACAGAGTATTCGAGTCAGGTGGTCACATATTACAGTATGAAGAAGAGCCTCATGTAAAATAATGGCAAAAAAATTTATGAAGAGGACTTGGAATGGAATAATCTCCTCTACCGTCAATTGAGCGTATACACACATAAAAGACTAACACACAGGGACAACCCCTCCGGGTCCCCTCCTGCTTTTCTGGCCTCTCAATAAATCCTGCTTTCGAAAAAAATGAACGCCCAGCTCCAGCTTAGGAGGAGACACCCCGCCCACGGCTCACTTGAAAGGGAGCCTCACAAACACGGCTGCTGCAGCTTCCAAGAGGGGTCAGGGCCCCCCATGTCATGCCTTTTGACAGCTTTATAAAGACAGAAGGTGATGCAGGGTCTCCCGGTGAGCACAGAGCCTTGGCGCCCCTCGCCTCCCTTCTCCTGACTCGTCCAACAAGAAGGAAACAGAACCTCGGCCATCCGTCTCCAGAGCTCTGCCTCTCCCGGACAGCCGTCCCCACGCCAGGTGGCGTCGCGGTCATGGCCCTCCGACACCGTGCCTGTGCCGGGTTCACTGAGTCCTGGCATGCAGAGGGCCTGCCTGGTGCCGGGGCAGCCCTAGGCTTCGAACCGACGGAGCTACGACTCCCGTTTCTGCCTCTCTGTCAACGCTGCTGCTTTTTCTGTGATTTGACCAACACCCCTAAGCCTGGTCCCGGAAGGAATGCTGAGAGCAAGGGAGGCCGAGAAGGAAAGCCCGACAAGAACGAACTTCGGGAGCTGCTGCCCTAAAATCCCACAGACCCTATGCCAAGAGTCAGCACAGATCAGAGTCGCAAAGACCGTGTGCGAGACGGCACACGCAAGTTAAAGGAAATTAGACGACTGCTCAGGGGCACCGGTGAAGGAGGGAGCGCCGGCCGCAGGCCCCGGACGACCCGCGCAAGGCGTGGTCCAGGGGGCGGGGAAAACGGTCTTGATGGCGCTGTGAAAGCATGCACGGTCCTCGGGAGGGGACAGCTGTGTCCCGAGGCGCTGGCTGCAGGCCGGCTGGTGAAGAGCTGCATGCACAGAGGCAGGCCGGGCAGATCCCGCAGAGGCGGCGGCCCTTCTAACCTGTGCGGCAGCCAGCGCCCTCTTGTGGTCGTCCAGGGTCACTACAAGCTGCTCGTGCTCGGAGAGTAAACTCTTATGCTGCTGCTACACAAAGAAAAGTGGATGCATTGAGCTCTGACACCCCACGACATGTCCTCTGGCCGCCGTGGGACGGCCACCCAGAGGCTACGTGCATGTGTGTGTGTCTGCCACGTCTGGAAATCGCTGGAGAGAGAAGTCTCATGTGGGATTCCAGAACCCAAAACGCGCTACCCACATACCACAGCCGCCTGCCGTGAAATCAAAGCCCAAGGAACAAACCTGTCGTGATTCACAACCCCGTGGGAACAAAATCCCCATTCAAGGGTGGCACGCTAACAAAGACCAGTTTCGGCTCGAGGGACAACGTCGAGAGTTTCAGACGCTCTTTGAGCTTCCAGGCTGACTTGGTGAGGGCGCCGGCATGCTGGAGCTGACACAGAGCCCCACATGGCAGTCCAGGTCGTCCAGGCAGGGCGGCGAGGGAATGATGTCACGCCACTCTGCAAAGGCAGGCAGGCAAACGCGAGGCGGGTGCTGGGCCTTGTCTTACCTTGACATCTTGGAGCTGTGTGTGGATGTCCTGGTGTGCTTTCCGGAGCTGCCTGTTCTCTTCTCGCAAATTGTACACGGTTTCTGTTTAGAAAAAGAGACATCACGCATAAAGCCTTGACAGTTCCAGGATTTAGACGATACTGTTTTCACCTCTAAAGCCCCGTGTCCCCTATTCTAGGATCCGTTTTGAACTCTGACAGCGTCACGCCCAGAAGCAACAAAAACAGCACGGCATCGTGCTGCGCGCGAATTCAGCGGGACCCCTGGCTACGGCCCACTCAGTGGCTCAAGTGCAGTTAAGCAAGGGGCCGTTGCAGATGAGAGCTAAGGGGTGGACTGCTCAGGAGTTAAACCGGAAGCATTCCTGAGGACAGGCCAGGCTCATGGGTGGGGGTGAGGTCTCCACAGGCGAGGCTTTTCATGCACTGAAGATGAAGGTTTAGGATTTCGGCCAAATGTTTTCAAAAATAAAAATAAAAGCCGGGCTCGGTGGCTCAGCCTGTAATCCCGCGTCTTCGGGAGGCTGAGGTGAGGGGATTGCCTGAGCCCGCGGGTTCGAGACCCGCCTGGGCAGCGAGACCTCATCTCTACAATAAATCAAAAAATCAGCCGGGCGAGGTAGCGCGTGCCTGTAATTCCGGCTACTCGGGAGGCTGAGGCGGAAGGATCGCTGGAGCCCAACAGGCGAGGCTGCGGTGGCCGGGAGCGGCCACTGCACTCCAGTCTGGGCAGCTGAATGAGACTCCAACTCAAAAAGAAAAAATAAATAAAAACAAAAATAAATAAGAATAAAGTGTCAGAAAGGACAGGTCCTATAGCTCACAGCATGAATAATTTCCACAGTCCCCGAAAGCAAGTACAGAGGCAACTCAGAACATGAGAGAGACAGAGCCCACTCATCTGCTGAAAAGTTCTTAGTACTTTTTCTTTCGTCTACCACTGAGTTTTCGAAGGAGACCCACATTCTACTTCCAGCAGCTGCAGGACAGTTCTCTTCAGAGCCACGGTGCAAGGTTGCAGTGGCCATAGTGACGCCCTGAACTCTCCTGCTCCCGCCAGACAGCTCGCAAAGCAGCCACCACCCAGGGGTCTAGACCCCCCTCTCACCACCTCCAGGCACCTCTTCCCTACAGTCCATGCATCTGGGCATTGGCTATCACTGACTGACTGCGGTGGGGCCACGTCCAACCCACACCCTATTTCTTTGGCCCCTGCACCACGGAGCCAACATGGTGTCTTCTGCACCTGAGGAGCTGTCACCCTTTAAAAATAAAAGACCTGGGTTGAGTAAGACCTGGCATTGCTGAGCCCATTCTCACATGGCCACACTCAGTGGGGTTGGGTGGCGCCAGGGTGACCATGTCCGATTAATTAATCGTCCAACTGGAGCCAACCAGAAACAAAGGGAGGACTCTGACTCATTTTGCTGGGACTGCAAGTGCAATCCTGGACGGTGCGAGACAAGCCGCCCTCCCATGGCAGCCAGCCCTGCAGGCACGGCCTAACTCCCAGGGCACGCCCAGCCTGGAAGGGAAGTGTCTGCACTGTGTTGTCAGCTGTCCTTCCCTCCTTCATAGTTTCTGCCTCAACCCTGGACAGCTCTGCATCTATGACTGGCTTGGTTTATGGGAGGTCAGAATCCAGGTGGAAAATGCAGCCAGTAACCGTCCAGGTTGTTAGGGGAATGAAAGGTGTGGGCCCATGTGAAGAGCCTCCCTGGCCACTGGCATGGGGTGGACACTTGCAAAGTGTTGGCTATTGTGACACTGACCTCGAGGAGTGAGTTCACAGGCTGGCAGCGCATCTCCTGGGAGCTAAGCTCCTCCCTGGTGTACAGTAAGCCACCAAAGGCCACATAAATGCCATACCTCAGCTGCCACCTCTGGCCTGCGACGACCACAAAACACTTTCACCAAGGATCAAAATCAGACAAAGGTGCTGATATGGAAATGCTGATACGAGGGAGGACCCCAAAAAATCCTGGAATTTGCTTTTGGAGGGCAGACCCCTTGTAGTATATTTAGAATCTGTTCCTTTGGGTCAAACGGTCAACCACAGTTTTTTCTGGAAGTTTTGAGAAGGCTGTGCCACGATATGCAGGAGAAACACCCCGAGTGTGGCAAACAGGTGACTGATTCCTCCACCATGACAACACACACCTGCCCGCACTGCGCTGAGTGTTCTGCAGTTTTGGGCCAAAAATGGCATGACCCCCACCCCTTCCTGTTAACTGATCTCGCCCTGAGCAACTTTGTTTCCCAGGATGAAAAAAGTCCTCAAAAGGAAACATGTTGCCCAAGAGATGAAACAAAAAACAGCAGAAGCACTAAAAGGCCTCAAAACCGACGAGTCCAAAGCCCGTTTTGAGCAGTGGAAAAAGCATCTCAACAGATGTAGTGCATCAAATAGAGAGTACTTCGAAGGTGACTGAAGTTTAAATCATCAGAATAAACACACAGTTTTCCATGAATAAATTCCGGTAATTTTTGAGTCATCCCTGGCGAAGTGTCAAAGGCCCATCCACACTGTTGTCTCGGGTCTCCTCGAGAACCTCCTGGCCCCAGAGATGCCGCCTCTCTCCCCTCAGTGCTGGCTTGTGCACCAGAGCCCGCGGCTTCCTGCGTCTCCCCTTCCGTCCCTGGTGCCGGGAAGCCCGGACATGAGGCCTGAATGACTCAGGACTCAGAACTCCATGTCTGTGTCCTCCCGGTCTTCAGGAGGAATCTCCTACTTCTTTGTATAATCGGTTTAAGAGTTTACTACACACAGACCTTGTTTGTTTGTTATTTTAAGGAGCTCCTCGCTCTTGCTAGAACTAAAGGCACTCAGTTGTATGACGTTCCCGAGTGTGCGAGGCCCAGTCCAGGCCCGGGCACGTGTGGTTCTCACTCCTCAAGCATCTGTTGGGGACCGGCGTCATGCCATGGGTTGCACCCCCTTAGCAAGCGCTGGGTGTGTCTCTCTGTACCCAGGCCTTCCCCTCCACTGGCATGCACGGCCCTGAGGTCCGGTGGTGCTCTCTTCCTTACACCCCTTTGTGAGGACTTCTGGCATTCAGCCCTCCTTTCTGTTCTGCCATCTCCAACCAGCCCCACCTGTCACGTCACCACAGGCTGCGGGCCCTTGTGTCACCTTCTCTTGGCCAACACTGGTGAACACCCAGCCCAGCCCTACTAGGCCCCTTGGCCCCTTGTCGTGTTGCCTCAGGGACTGCTTGACTCCTACGTGTCCTTTGTGATCACTCGTTTTTGTGGAAAGACCTACAGAGAAAAGCTACCAGACGTCAGCGCACAGGGGTCCTAAGGAGCCCTCTCAGCCCTCCGTGATGACCTTTTGTGTGCACATCATGGCTGCCAGGCTGTGACTCGGGACGAGGACCTGGACAGCAGGCCCACCAGGATCTCCCTGCAGCTGTAGCCGCACCACGTGCCACTCAACACCCATGCTGTCCCACTAAACTAACTCAGCACCTAAGTTTTTGCTCAGGAGGGTGCTGGTTTCTTTCTCCAGGACTCACGAGTACTCAGAGAAGGCCACTTTGTTCCTCATCGCCGTGAAAACGTGCACGGCTGCTGTTGGCAGGTGACGTACAAGCAAACATATGTGTATGGTTGCTGTTGGCAGGGGACGTACAAGCAATTATTCCGGACACCTTACGCAGATTACCCAACTGATGCCATGGGGCTGATACTTTTGGAGACTGTCTCGACTCTGCGGACAAGAACACTGAAGCCAGATGACTACACGACTTGCTGGTGGTCACAAAACCAGCAAAGAAGCCAAGTAGCCCAGGGCACTTCGACTCCAGAGCATGGGCTGCCGCGGCCACTGCAGGTGCCTGCAGCGAGTCTCACCGTCCCTTGAGGGTGCTTGGAACCACGTGGCACGTTTTGGATGGTAGCAGCAACTGGGGAGCATGGGAAACAGGGGCGGGCAGGGCCGGATGTGCCAACTGTCCTGCCCACAGGGCCGGGGCCTGCTGCGCCACCACCAGAGACACTGAGCGTCCTGTTCCACTTCCCTGCACAAACCCACGGAGGGGGCACTCGAGAACAGTGGCCCAGAAGCGAGCAGCCAGTCAAGACCCCAGAGGACGGAATCCCCACGGAAACACATGGGCCCCGTTCCACGGGCGTGAGCATGTGTGCGGCTGCACATGCGAGCCGGCTGGGAGGCCTCCCGGTACCTTTCAGCTTGGAAAGCTCCTGCTCCTTTTCTTGCTGGAGCTGCAGGAACCTCTGCTTGTGGTCGCTGAATGTGCGGCTGAAGTCCTCGCCCTGCCTGCGGTGCTCCTCCTCCAAGTCGCTGTGCTGCTTCTTCAGCTCCTCGTGCTGGCTCTGCAAAGACAGGGACGGGCGAGTCACCCTGGCTCCGTGTCCTGGCGGCACCGCCTTCCGCTCGCAGGGAGGCGAGGGCCAGTGGAGAGGCAGGCTTTGCCCTCCTCGATCGCTCTGGCTTGTGTGGCTCCCACCTGGTCCCCGTGTTTCGAGTGGACGGGTGGGACCCCAGCCGGAAACAAGCTTCCTCCCCCCAGCATCAGTGGGAGCGAAGTTAGCCCGGGAGACAGAGCTGAAGGCCCTCGGGAAAATTCCCAGGAACACAGATGGCCGTGGAAGCGAGGTCAAGCTGCGGGCACACACGCCCCTCCCTGGCACGACGACTGTCCCCTTCCAATCTGCTGTGGGTGGCCACAACACATTCGAGTCTCTTTTGTGGCGTTTCGGCCTTTCCGGCAACTCGGTTTGAAAAGGGAGAAAGACACTCGCTCTGGGGGTGTCGCCAATGTTTTTAGGACTGGCTCTTGTTCACGCCCCTCCTGAGGACACTCCCATGCTGTCACCACAGCCCAGATTGACCAACACCCTATGACGGTACTCAAAAAGGGTGGTCTGCTTTCTTTCACCATGGCGCCCTTGACGGCAAAAAGGCTTCCATCCCAAAAGCAGCACACGTCTTGCAGACGTAGGAGGAATGATAGTACTGAGCGGGAGGTCGGGCCTGGGGTGGAGACACCCGCCGTGCGTCCAGAGGATGGCTTGCCACCTGGGGCCTTCCTCGAGCCTGGGGAAGCGGTGCCTCTTCCCCACCCAGCAATGAGTTCCCCCCAAGGGCCAGGGAGGGGAACCTCAGAGGACAGCGTGCTCTGTGGTATGTAGAAGGGCTTTTGCCAAGTATCAGCGACACGAAGGAAGCCTTGGGACCGTCCCACAGTCTCCAGTCTGGGCAAGATAAATAAAATGTCCCAGGAGAACCACTGCGAGGAGCTAAACCCCACACCCCAAAGGCCAAAGAGAAGAAGATAACAGAGTGTCTGATCTGTAAGGAAATGTGTAAGAATGAAATGTGTTGCTTGTAACCAGGTGTCAAGGGTGGGGCAGGCAGTGCAGGTACACGTGACTTTTGGCCAGATGTGACTCGAGCATTCCACACTCCAAGACGGATCCGCTTTCTGCTAACTTTCCTGAATTACCGGAAAGGCCTTCAGCTCAGACATTAGTTGCCCTTTTCTCTTATGGGTAACAACGTTAAACGACTCACTTTCAACATCTGATGCTGGACATTCAAGGCACTGTATCTGCTGTTGGAATCTTGCTATAAATCGAAAACAAAGAAAGTCAACACAAAGACGACGGGTGCAGCCCTCTCGCTAAACGCGGCGCAAAGCCCTTCGCCAGAGTTTCATTTCTCTCACTTGCGTAAGGCGGATGAATTCCACCTTTGACCCAAGCCACCTCTGGGCTATCCGTGAATACGGAAATGAAGTTTCGACGTTCCTCTAAGTGTTAAATTTTAGTCATAAAGAGGCAGGACATGGAGTCGCGAGACGGCTTGACAGAGCCCCTGGGGTGAGTCTGTTCCTCTCTCATAGGTATTCAGAGGAACTCGTCCTGCGACGGATGACCGCAGGGCTGTGCCCGCACGGAGTGCCGCGTGAGCAGAGGAGGCCGGACCTGTGGACAGGCCCCACGCACCACGTGTGGCTTCACGGGGACGACAGGAGCGCTTTCCTCCCTGAACTGCAGCAGGTAAAAAACCCCACACAAGGCCTCACCGTCTAAGGCTGGACCCCATCTGGGCCGGATTCCATTTAGGGCCAGACCCCATCTAGGGCCGGGCCCCCTCTGGGCTGGACTCCGTCTGGGATGGACTCTGTCTGGGCTGAACTCTGTTTAGGGCCAGAACCTGTCTGGGCTGGACCTTTCAGCCCGAACTCCAGGTGCACACGTGCGCCACGGAACAGCATCCCACCTGGCCCAAGGTATCACCTAGGCACACCTGGACGTCTTCCCTGCACTTGCCCTTGCCGGCCCTGCCCACAGCACAGGCACACTCATGAGCATCTTCCATAGCTTTACGACTTCTACAGTGGACTGCACTGTTGCTTTCTCACTCGACCTCTCAATTTCAACGTATAAGGACAATATGGACATTACATTATAAAACTTGTAACTGGGGCAACCTCCCGCTGTGGGAGCTTTTCTGTCCTCTCAATAAATCCTGCTTTCTAAAAAAACAAAACCAAACCAAACAGGATGTGTAACTGCATGCCCACAGCTAGAGTCAGGGCTTTCACAAAGCAAGCAGATGTGGGAAGCTGATTTATAAAATGGACAACAGTGGTCAGGCACTGTTGCTCACGCCTGTCATCCCAGCACTTTGGGAAGCGGAGGCAAGAGGAACGGCCTGAGCCCAGGGGTTCGAAACCAGCCTGGACAACTTGACGGGACCTCATCTCAACAATAAATCACAAAAATTGGCTGGGCGTGGTGGCACATGCCTATAGTCCCAGCTACTTGGGAGGCTGATGCAAAGGGATTGCCTGGGCCCAGCAGGTTGAGGCTGCAGTGGCCATGAGGGTGCCACTGCACTCCAGCCCGGGTGACAGAGTGAGACTCTGACTAAAAAACAAACAAACAAATAAAATGTACAACTGCGTCACACAGCTGTGGTGAGGGCTTTCACAAGCCAGCGGGAACTGGACACTACAGACATCCTCCCCTCACAAGGCATGGCTCATCTCGGCTTTTATACCTTGAAGGCCAATGTTTTTTTCAGCTAATGCTTGCACATTTTTCTTAGAGTAAGACAGACTTGCTTTTCTCTAGTTAATGCAGACTTTAAAATATTTCAAAATGCCAATATCATTCATTCATTCATTCCACAAATGTTTTTAGATGCCAACTCTTGGCCAGGTCCTATGTTAGATGTTACACATGGAAAGGCAAACCAAAATAAATCTTACATGCTATAGGAAGGAGAGAGCACAAGCAAATAAGTAAATGAATAAACTATCTTTATTTTTGAGCCTCAAGGCTATTCCCAATTTATCATTATTATCAATAATGTGACAAGAAGAGGCAGGATTTACAAAAACGATTTTTAAAGCCGCCTTCTGTGATTTTTTGGTAGATACATATATGTTTCAGTCCTACAATCCTGGTGACCAACAGAGCAAAGGACTTTGCGACTGTCGTTCCCTCTGCTTCAAGTTTTAATAAAAACAAATCGAGAAAAAACAAAACTTACCCTTCCTTTATTTAGTGTTTCTTGTGCTTCTAACTTATAAACAAGAAAGTCTAGAAAACACAAAATGGAGAAAATTAGTGCAGCATCCTTCACTGTGGAATTTTTAAACAACTAAAGGAATAAAGGGCACGTTTACTCAGACTTGCAAAAATGTTTTAGGTTGAAAGCAATCTGGAGATTTTTATACTTTATTTAGGCTCTCAATGCTGCAGGGAGAATTGGGAGAAACACATATCCTCTCTTCTTCACCTTAAAGCTGTAAATCTCACATCAGCAAAGTTCACGTGAAAACTACGCAATTAAAAGCACACTCTGCGCACCTCCGGGATGAACGTTCCTTGAAACCAAAGAAGACAAAGAGGGCGGCACAAAAAAAGTGCGAAGACACGGGTGACGCCCTGCCACCCACCAGATGGCAGGCTCAAGTCCTCTTGGACCCGAACACGAAGCCAAGCAGCCAGGCCAGCCTTGAGGCTCTGGAAGCGTGGTTACCCACTAGGTGGCTCTATACAAGCACTGCGTTAGACGCCGAGGCAGCAACTTGGATGGATTCACACTCGATCCTACTCAGTGATCTATCCCAGAAACAAAGAACAGAGCACCATATGTTCTCACTCTTCAGCGGACCTTGAACACTTATCCTAACACTGTAAGAAAGTGTTTGACAGTAGTGGGAAACTGTCAGAGGAGGGGGTGGGATGGGCAGTTGAGGGAAACTGCTAGGGGAGGGAGGGGCACACCTCATCCACAAGGGTACCTGCAAAACCAACATTTGTAGACCTAACCCCGAATTGTACCTGACATCTTGATTAAAAAAAAAAAAAAAAAAGCCAAGGCCAGCCCACGCCCTACAGAAGCATCTCCATGACACTCAACTGCTGTGCTTCATACAGGCTCCACTCAGGAGTAGGACATCCTAACCAACACTGCCCTCCCTTGCCTCCCCACGAGGGTGAGTGGACAGGCACCTGATGTAAGGATCAAGATTAATCACAAAGCACGAGTGAATACTGGAGTGCAGAAAAAATTCCAACCATGAGCCTGTGTTCCACAGACAAAGTCTAATAAACATGAATGGCACTGCCTACAACCTGCACTAAATGCTGGTTTTCAAACTGAACAACTCATCGTGATAATAGGCACAGAACTTAAAAGATACCGGGCAAGAGGACAGATTCATTAGGTTGTGTGTGTGTGTGTGTGTGTGTGTGTGTGTGTGTTCAACTTGTCACATTCTGGGCAATGCAAGCTCTTCCTCTTTTTTTCTTCCTGGGTATCTGTGGGCAGAAGTTCTAGGTGTTAGTGACATACCTGTGCAAGTTCCTAGCTATTTCTGAAATACATGTGGAAGCCACGTATGAGCTACCTCTCGTGGCTCCCATGGAATGCAAGATGCTAATCCACTCTCAAGCGGGAATCACTCACAGTGCGTGACACTGCTGACACCGCTTTCTTGCCCACTTTGGGTCGGTTTGAGAAATATGCTAGCGAATATATAAATACACACATATATATGGTAAAGCAAGTCCACGATGCTTCAAAGAAGAGCATGAGAAACACGGGACACGAACCACGTTACTCACCTTCCTTTGCCTTTTTATGCTCGAGTCGTTCTTTCTGCAAGGACTTCTCTAATCTTGATCTGTGTTCATACACAACTAGAAAAAAAGAGTCAAAGTTGGTCTCCAAAGCATGAGAAATTCAGAGTAAAATGAACGTCAGTGCACAAAACTGGACTTGAACAGGGCTGGGTCCTCACACAGTGAAAACAGAAGCCCCCGGATGCTAAGCTCCAGTTCTGGCAAGGGGTTGGCTTGCAGCCTGCCCTCTCCGGAGCCAGTGCCAGAACCTTGCTCTTCCCTCCTCTGCCCGACACGTTCCGGCATCCCTGTGGGGCATCTCCCCGGCAACCCTGTCCACTCAGGCCGTCGCCAGCCTGCCTGTACCACAGCCACCCACACCTGTACCGCCAGCTCCAGCCTCTCGGGCACTGGAAGAGTGTTTCCACCTGAATGCCACCGAGCATCTGGGACTGAGTACCCTCGGTGCCCACCTACATGCAGACAGCGAAAGAGGAAGTGGGCATGCCCCTCTCCCACATTTTTTTTTTTTTGAGTTGGAGTCTCAATCTGTCACCCAGACTGGAGTGCAGTGGCCGCTCCCGGCCACCGCAGCCTCGACCTGCTGGGCTCTGGCGATCCTTCTGCCTCAGCCTTCCAAGTAGCCGGAATTACAGTTGTGCGCTACCACGCCTGGCTAATTTTTGATTTACTGTAGAGATGAGGTCTCACCAAGTTGCCCAGGTGGGTCTTGAACCCGCGGGCTCAGGCAATCCACTCACCTCAGCCTCCCAAAGCACGGGATTGCAGGCTGAGCCACCGAGCCCGGCTCTCCCACATCTTGAAACCAGGGAGAAACACAGAAGTCAGGGAGGGAGGGACCCTCCAGAGGACCCAGGAGAGCACCCTCATGAGAAAAAGCAGGTCCGCCTTCTGCCTCACAGGAGCCAGGAGAGACCCACACACACGTCAGCTGAGACCATCCTGTCCTCCATCCGCCTCCCACCGGGGCCCCTGAAGAGGCCACAGGCACCTGGGGGTGGTGAGGAAGAGAAGCATGGGGAGCCTGACTCCCAGCGGCCTCACACAGAGGCCTCACACAGAGGTCTGACTTGCCTGTTAGACGCTAGGCTGGACACAGAGGATGACGACCGGGCCCAGGCTGTACATCTACGGATCTGATTTGGAAAGGGTCTTGGTGCCTTGTTTGTAATCTCAGAGATGAATACGGGGTCTTAAATTCATCTGGGAACAGAGGACTCAGCTCCCAGGGGGTGTGAACTGCCTCTAGGGAGCAGAGTTGAGGAAGCCCATGTCTGACGTGTCCTTTGACCCTGTGTGTTCCCACTGCGGTCAGCTGGTCAGCCCGACCTGTCAGTCCGTCCTCCTGCCTGTCCTGCCCCATGACCACATGCCATGGCATCCCCATCACGCTGGCCACAACACACGCGGCCCTGATAGCACCGCTGCCACCGAGGCCGTCCGTCTTGCAGCTCTCTTCTGCCCTGCACCTGCCCTGGCGGCTGAGGGGTCCCCACCCCTCCTCTGCCCTTCCCCACCATCACGCTGTCCTCCCAACGTGGCCATTGTCTCCGGGGCCACCCCTCCCCACGTGCCCCTGTGGACTTTCCACCACGGATCCGTCCACTGCCAGCACAGCTCTGCTCGACTCACACCTCTGTCAACATCTGTCTACCTCTTAGAATGCCCACGGCCACCAAGTGGTCTGTGCAGTCCCCATGGCATGCCTCCCATGCCATCTCCACCCCCCGCTGCCCACGTCCCCAACCCTGCCCCACGCCCTTCCTCCACCAGGCCCCTCTGCTCGCCAGATGGCCGTCCTCTGCACCAGTGTCACCAAGGAGCTCCACACAACCCCACGCTTACTGGGCCCCTGCTCTGTACCCAGACGGAGGCGTGAACTGGACTCAAGGTGGTCATGCTCCAAGCTCGGCTGCGAGTCACTGCCGAGAACTAAGGCTGTCCCACATCCGTGTGTCGGGACGTGAGTCCCTCGACCAGTTTCACACGCCCATGGAAACCACGCGGCTCCCAGCATGGGGAATCTGATCGCCATGCTGACAAGGTGGGGCCAACCCCAAGCTGGCACCACAGAACCCACCCACCAGGCCCTGCTGTGCTCTCAGGCTGGGGTGCTGAGGAGGAGACACGGGCAAGACTGGTGACAGCCCCATCACGCATGGCGGAGGCAGACCGGGGCACGCGGGGTACCCCGGCTCCAACGCCCCCTATGGGCCCCAGTCCTCACGGTCCCGGCTGGCTGCGGGAGTGTGGCCAGACGAGTTAACAAGGGAGTCAGGATGCTGCCTGGCCGTGCTACAGACTGGGCTTCGGCAAGCACACACAGCTTCCACGAACAGCCACGTGGTTGAGGCCCTGCTGCCACAGGCCCCAGCATAGGGCTCCCGGGCAGAGGCTGGGACCCTTAGGGGCATGACTGTAGCCTAGTGTCATAAAGCCAGCAGCTCAGTCAAGGCACCCAGGGGGGTTGCCCACCACCCGCCCGTGAATGTGAAGCATGGCTGCGGAAGGCTCAGGGTATAGGAGAGAGTGGATTTATAAGTTACGCTTCTGTGGGATTTTTATGAAAACACAGCTGTCATCACGGTAAACCTGCTTTTGCAAACTCTGCACTGTGTGGCAGCAGGCTGTGATGTAATGGTTATCTGTGCCTGCGGAAGCCGAGGATCCATCGGCCGAGGACCACAGGACAACGCCAGGCAGGCGCAGGTGGGACAGGGGGGCCGGTGGGAAGGGAGGTGGCGGCCATTCTCTGTGCCCCTCCTTGGGATTCCTTCCAGAGGATGACATGTCCATGGCTGGTGTACAGCACCCACCTACCGGACGGTGCCCAGAGATGCCCATGATGGTTTCACCTCCGTGGAAACTTACAAACCAGCGTAGCAGCATGCTCAGGAGCTAAGAGACCCTAGGAAACACAGTCACCTGTGTGGATAAATCTTCCGAGTAAACTCCACGACATGTCCGCCAAGGCGAGCGTGTTTGTGGATCATGGTCAAGACCCAAAGGTCTTGGGAAATCGAAGACGCCCGGAGCCTGGTATGACCGACAGCAGCCGCAAGGCAGGAGGGGCGTGCTCTGCAAACTCAAGAGTCTGGCACGGCCCATGGCAGCCCAAAGAGCAGGAAAAGGTGAGGGGGCAGGAGAGGGGGGACATGGGTGGAAATCTAGGCGGATACGACCTCGCTCAGACTACCCAGCAGGCCCTGTCCCAGCCACGGCGTCCAGTCCTGACGGGGCTGGGCCGCGGGCCTCAGGGATGGGCTGCCCTGGAGGACATGGCCCCGGAGGCAGGGGGCGTGCAGGAGTGAGGAGGTGGAGGGGCAGAGGCCGTCGCACTGGGCAGGGAAGGGAGGCAGTCGGAAAGGGAGCCTCAACCACGAGCTGAGGAAACCACGCTAGGAAAGGGACGTGGGCGTGAAGACGGGCCCTCAGGACTGAAGGTTCTAGAGAAGGGGAGAAGGGAACGGGAAGGAGGCAGGGTGCCGAGGTGGCAGGCAGCAGGGTCCTGGTGTGGTTCCAGCTCCATCCCCCATGGAGGAAGGCACTGAGCTTCCGCGACTCAGTGTCCTGCGTGGTGTGTGCAGGTGACAACAGGCCGAAATCCTTGGGCGAACGAATGCCAGAGTTAAGTGAGCTAATACACCTCGGGTGCCCAGAATACGGCCTGGCACCCAGTCAGCACCACCGACATGCCTGAATCACGTCTCCCCTATCTTGAGATGGCTTAAAGTGCCAGAGAGGGAGCCAGGGGATCCTCCAACACTACAGCTGAAGTCTAACAACAATGCAGTCATATACACACCTACGTGTGTAGTAAATATATATCTGACTTGAAAAGGCAATAATATTGGTCTCTTACTTAAAAAAAAATTTTGGCCAGGCTCAGTGGCTCAGTCTGTCATCTCAGCACTTTGGGAGGTCGAGGCAAGTGGATTGTCTGAGTCCACAGGTTCAAGACCAGTCTGGGCAACTTGGCGAGACCTCGACGCTACAATAAATAAAAAATTAGCTGGGCGTGGTAGTGTACACCTGTAGTTCCAGCTATTTGGAAGGCTGAGGTGGAAGGATCGCTGGAGCCCAGGAGGTCGACGCCGGGGTGGCTGTGGGTGTGCCACTGCCCTCCAGTGTAGGTGACAGAGACACCAACTCAAAAAAAAAATTTTTTTTTCCTTAAGAAAATGAGAAAGCAAATGATCACTCCAGAGCTTATTCAAGCTGATAAGCCTAGTTTTAAACTAAAAGTGGAAACCTAGTTTTAAACTAAAAGTGGAAGGGTAGTGGAACAGACCGGACAGGTCCTTTGTGTCCTAGCATCTCTTCCAGGAAATGTCACTGTTGAACACAGGCATGTACACACTGCCTGCATTCCGTTGACGGTGCTTCTTCCAGGTCTGGGGCCAGTGGCTTATTGTGAGAGGGTTAGGGTCTAACTTGGCCCATCAGGCCTTGTCCCCTATCTCTAATTTTCTATTTATATCCTGACGCCAAGAGCATCAGTCACAGTGAGGTAATGCTGCTGGGGTCTCTGGTGTGTCATGGATGTTCTCACAGCACCAGACAAGCTTCAAGGAAAATACATGTGAAGATAGTTCAGTCTTGGCACTCAAGGTCTTCAGTGCAGAGAAACACGGCAGCAGGACTGGGACTTGAGCACAGGCACTCAGGAGAGAAGGTGGGACTCTGTGACACTCACCTCCTCCCTCCCCTGCTGACTGAAAGGAGTGTAATCGTCTCCACGCAGGCAAGAACGGAAGGGGTTTTGTTCCCCCTTACAAGCACTCAGGGGATTAAGCCATGCCCGCTTCCTACAGCCATGCTCCACGTTACTGGACTTCCATCTGAAAGCCACAGGAAGTGAGCTGTGCACATTTACTTGTGGGCAAAAGGCATCCATGTGCAGACGTGCGCGTGTCAAGCTCCTGGGTCCAGAATGAGGAAGCACTACTCGATGGTCAGGCAGGACGCCTTCCGGGTGCTCTCACACCTCAGGCTAAGAGACGGCAACGCTTCTTTGACAGAGAGATGGCCCACGGAATTTTGTTCCCAGTCGCGACTCTAACATAATGATCTGTCTTTAAAAAAGCAAGTGAGTGGACAAACCCCCGCTTCGGGTCCCCTCCCACTGTGGGAGCTTTTCTGTCCTCTCAATAAATCCTGCTTTAAAATAAAATAAAAAACAAGCCAGCAAGCAACCGAGGCCCGGCATGGAGGTTACACGATAAAGGTGTAAAAACATGATGTGGAAGCGTCTTGACGGTTTCACATCCGACAAAAATTAAAAGGAACAAGTGCTTCTGATTGCCGTGACTGAAAATGTTCAAGCCAAGAGGGATGCCAAGAAGGAAAACAAGTGGAAGCCACATCCACGCCCAGAAGCGCCTCAAATCGTGGGCATTTAGCATTTAGGGATGGCCTGGGCTGCGGTGGGGGCAGACCTCAACAACCTCCCTCCCCAGAACCCGGTGGGGATGAAGCCAATGCCATCCTTTCCCTCCACAAATAACACCCCCTTCTCCTTGAAAATCCCTCCTCCTGCAGCAAACAGAAAAGAAAAAAGGCGGGCGCCATCGCCATTGAGCTCCCTGGCCATCCCGGGGCCCCTGCCTCTCTGCCAGCCTCCCACAGGCGCTTCCCACACATCCGCCCAGTTTTTCCTTCTCACTCCAGGTCCCCTCAGGGTACAACTCCCCTCTCCCCTAGGTTTCACAGTAGATGCTGGATCCGGGTATCAACTGCTCCTTCCCTACACCCAAGGTCCAGGCCTGGGAGAGGCCCTGAGGCCTCCCAGCACAGAGAACCCAAGCCCTCCCCAGGCCTCCCGGGGGGGCATCCTGAACTCCCCCCCA